TATCTATCTATCTATCTATCTATCTATATATATATATATATATATACTGTCTCCAAGCTTTTGAATGGTATAGTTTATAATGTTTGAAAAGCTTTTTATTTCAGATAAATGCTGATCTTTGGATCTTTCTATTCATCAAAGAATCCTGAAAAAAAATGTACTCAACTGTTTTAAATATTGATTTAAAAAAATGTTTCTTGAGCAGCAAATCAGCATATCAGAATGTTTTCTGAAGATCATGTGACACTGAAGACTGAAAATTCAGCTTTGATCAAAGAAATAAATTACATTTTAACAGATATTCAAATAGTAAGCAGTTATTTTAAATAGTAAAAATATTTCACAATTTTACTGCGTTTGCTGTATTCTGGATCAAATAAATGCAGGCTTGGTGAGCAGAAGAGTATTCTTAAAAAAACATGAAATATCTTTCTGTTCAAAAACTAGATTCTAACTGTTGTTACTTGTAATGCATTTCCCCCGACATGCAGCAATCTTCAGTCTGTAATCTCTCTCTTCTCCTGACAGGTGAACCTGTTCTTCCTGCTGAACATTGTGCGGATGTTGATCACCAAACTGCGGGTCACTCACCGCACCGAGACCAATGTCTACATGAAGGCGGTTCGCGCCACCATCATCCTGGTTCCTCTGCTGGGCGCTCAGTTCATCCTGGTGCCGCTGGAGCCCAGCGGACGCGTCTCTCGGGCCATCTACGAGTTCTTCATGAACATCTTCGCCCATTTCCAGGTGATGAACTCGGAGAATCAGTGCAGTCGGTCAAAAACGCATTACAGATGTGTAAAATCAGCCCACGAGGCGTTTTGTTTCTGTAGCTAATTAAATAAACGCTTGCTTGAGCACATTCCACTGTTTTTTTAAATATCACTAGCATAAAAAGTGCTGATATTGCATTTTAAATGTTTTATTAAACGGATGCATTTCTTTGAGACCTGTGTGACTGTACAGCAGTGTTATTTTAGTGTTATTAACCCGTTTAATCCCAAATCTGTCCCAGAGATGAAAATATCCAAATGATGTGTCATTAGTGACCCTTTGAAATAATCAACTATTATTATTTGACTTTTTTTGGGAAAAGTGTGTGAAATTTCTTTTATGTTTTATGGTCGGTCACAATTGTGACCGGTGGGATAATGTGTGTACTGAAATAACATATTTCTACAGTCAAAATAATTTATTATATATCTTAGCCCAGCTATTTGAAACTGTTTGATCACATTCTACTATGCATAAAAAATACAACCCTTATACAACACTGATAGGAATACTGAGATAAAAGACAAAAAAATACAACCATCAACATATTTCAAAATTGTTACTTTTTTGTAAAATATATCAACTTTTTAAATTAGTGCTACCAGTATTACAACATCAATATTGTAACTTATTTGTAACATTTGAACTTTTAATTTAGTGCAGTATTTTGTCATTGCAACATTTTAGTGTAACTTTCACTAACAACTGCAATTGGATTTATATTGTAAACCTAAGTTCACTGTTATCCCAGCAGTCACTATTGTGACCATCAACATGTTTACTAATTCTATGACCACACTCAACAAAACTGAATATATGTGAATTCATATATTAATACTAGACACCTTAAAGATAATGTGGACCAAAAATCTTTGTTGACACTTTACTAGCCTTTCGTTTTGGAGCTTTGATGCAGTCATCATCTTTTCATGATGCAAACCGGAATTAAACTGCTCTGGTCATGTGACAATTTGCACTTATCATGTGACACTGCGCATATTTAATTGAAACCCTTTATTTTTTCCATATTTGCAGGAAGTGCACTAAAACATCAGTCAGTAAGATTTTTAGAGCTTTATGGGATTAAATGGGTTAATACACTGCTCAAAAAAAATGTAAGAAACACTTTTTAATCAGAGTATAGCATCAAGTCAGTTAAACTCTTGGGATATTGATCTGGTCAGTAAAGTAGCAGAGGGGGTTGTTAATCAGTTTCAGCTGCAATTAACAAGAGGTGCACTAGATGGGCAACCATGAGACGAGCCCCAAACAGGAATGGCTTTACATGTGGAGGCCACTACTCATCTTTTCTGACTCGTTTTGCATTCGGCTAGGGTCACTGTCACTGCTGGTAGCATGAGGATTGAATTCAGCCCTCTGTAGGTTGATCATTTTCATTTCCATCAAACGATGCGGCATCCTTTCGTTCCAACACATTAGCCAGTCCATATCAGTATAGATATGCAGCATGATATTTTTCCCCATTGAGATCTGATGTGTTTTCAAAGTGATCCTTTAATTTTTTTGAGCAGTGTATAATATTATTAATAGTTTTTATTAATATTTTGAATATTGCAGTGTGCTTGAGTTAACCTTCCACTTCCAGCGTGACAGGGAATTTAATTTATATGTTAATTAATGAATTAATTTATTTTATTGTAATTATTTAAATAGAATACCAAAAATGTGAGATTATTAAGGATTATAATCTAAAGGATTCTGTGAATGTATAGAAATATGATTCTGATTTTAAACCAAATACTTTAGATATGCGTTTAAAATATGAGCTAAGAAAGGGATCACTGCTTACTGTGCAATCATAGATAAAGGACAATTATTAGACTTAATTCTCTAAAAGAAAGATTCAATCTAGATTCCAAGGATTTCTTCAGATATCTTCAGCTCCTACAACATTTCTCTCAGAAAACTAAAAAAGGGACTGATGGAGATCCAAATAAGAGTGCTCTAGATAAAATATTCTCCTCATCTGAACCAATGTTGAAGACTATTACTAAACTATTCAGAGCATTGGATTTACAGGGAGATAAAAGGTGGTATTATTATCTCAACTGAGGATTGGGAAAACATATGTAAACTACAATGGATGCAACTTCCCGTTCTTCATATTGGAGAAAATTTTGCTGGAGAAATATTGTTCGGTCCCGCCGCTGCTGAGGCACGGAGGAGAATGAGCTCGTGGGGATCGCAGGTGGACCTGGCTGATGAGTTTAAAGAGGGGCTTTCCCTCTCGCGCTCGTCGGCTGTGGACAAGAATGAGACGCTGGAGGATGATGTTATTTCTTTAACTCTGCTAGCTTTCTTTGCAGTGTTTCCCGGGACCTGTGTGTTTCTATCCTTTTTCTAGGGTTGGTCCTCAGTAAGCACCCCCTCTGCTGGATTCAGAAACCGGGTGCTCAACTTGCAGTGTTATCTCACTCGTCGATATATGTCCAGACGGTACGATAAGCCGGGTTTCGGCTTCATACTTCCTGGATCATGCGGCCAGGTCACAGGCTTCTGCGGGAGCCTTCTTGAGGTTATTGTGAGCATGGTGCTTTCTTTCGAGCGTTTAATTCTCTCTGAGGAGTTGGATTCCTCGCTCCATGGGCTGTCCTCGTGGTAGTATTGAGCAGTTCTCCCCTTTTATCAAAGGGTTACCTGGAATGAGCGAACGTTATTCCTCTGAATTCGGAGTTCTCCTCTCATGAGAAGTTGAGTTCTCTGTTTTTCCAGAGCACCTGGAACCAGCAGCATCAGGTGGATTAGGCCCTTCCTCTGCCTCCCTGATGCGCTGAGTGTTTGGCTAGCTTGCAGTATGCTTACCCTTCTGATTTTACAATCACGCTGTAGGTCGAGCCCCCTCTCGTTGAGAGCTGGGTTTGTGCTCCCTCAGCCAAGGTAAACTACTGCTAGCCGTTCCAGCATTGGAACATGCTGTAGGTCGAGCCCCCTTCTCGACTGAGAACTGGGTGTGTTGCTCCCACAGCTAAGTAAATTATTGCTAGCTGTTCCAGCTTTGGAACATGCTGCAGGTCGAGCCTCCTCTCGTTTGAGAACTGGGGGTGTTGCTCCCTCAGCTAAATAACTGCTAGCTGTTCCACCATTGGAACATGCTGTAGGTCGAGCTCCCTCTCGATTGAGAGCTGGATGTTTGCCCCCTCAGCTACAGGTTTACTGCTAGCCACTCCAGCATTATAAGCCTTAGATCGATTTGAGACTTCTCAAACATAACGTTTTGGGATGAACCATTTCCATCTATGGGCCGCTCTTTCAGAGTGCCACGAGAATTTTTGTTTAAAATCCATGTTATGGTAAGTGTGCACGTGAAGGCTTTGTACACTTTCTAAAATCCACACTGTGGTAAGTTCGCACGCTAGTACTCTGCGTTCTTTTCTAGAATCCTGTATGGTAAGAGCTACGCGCAGCAGCCTCGTGCTCTTTCTGAGTGGTTTAAAACCCCGGTTCCGCCTTGGGCACCACTCCACCTATTAAATGTCATTTTAAGTATATTTCTGAGAAGTACATAAAAAGTAGACTGAAAGTATATTTCCTATTTTAGTATACTAATTGCACACTTGAATAAACTTCTTTTTCGTAAGGGTAGGCAATTGTTGGAGACATTGCAGCTCACAGGATGCTAACCATTTTCACATATTTTGGGGATGTCCTAATATCACAAGTTTTTGGAAAGGTATACATAGCGTATTAGAAAAGATTTTAAACACTGCAGTTGATTTTAGTTTTGAGGTACTTTACATGAAAATCTGGAATCTGAGGAAAGCAAAAAAATCTAAATATTGAGAAAATCGTCTTTAAAGTTGTCCAAATGAAGTTCTTAGCAATGCATATTACTAATCAAAAATTAAGTTTTGATATATTTACGGTAGGAAATTTACAAAATATGTTCATGGAACATGATCTTTACTTAATATCCTAATGATTTTTGGCATAAAAGAAAAATCTATAATTTTGAGCCATACAATGTATTGTTGGCTATTGCTACAAATATACCCCAGCGACTTAAGACTGCTTTTGTGCTGCAGGGTCACAAATAATTCTTGCTTCAAGTAAAAAAGCTATTACTAGATGCTGGTATAAACCTAATCCACCACAAATACAGGATTGGATTAACATTGTAAAAAGTATGTTTACTATGGAGAAAATTACATTCTGTGTGAATTACCAAAAAATATATGTATTTGTTGACTTTTGGTCCAAATGGAGTGAGTATATAACTCCTATTGAACTGAATGTTTGTTTGTTATAGAACCTATGTTTCATGTTTATTTATAAATATTGCATCCACATCCTCTTTCTTTTGTAAATAGTTTTTGTATAAATGGAAGATAAATTAAAGATATATATTTATCTGTTATTGTCATGAAGAACTTTTTGATCAGGTGAATATATATATGGCTTATCTCACAATTCTCTTCACATTCTTACATTTTATCTCATAATTCCGATGTTAACTTGTATATAGAATCATAAATGTGAGAAAAAAGTCAGAATTGTGAGATGGAAAGTTTCAATTACCTTTTTTATTTTTGTATTCAATGGCACTTTTCAATTTAATGGTCTTTCATATTCAGTTAAAGTTAATTTTATTTCAAATTCCAAAAATCTTTCTAATGGTTTTGATTTTAGTTAGCAATAATAAGCTGGTCTTACAGTGTGTTTTACTGAGAGTTTGTGTTTCTGCAGGGTCTCCTGGTGGCTGTAATCTTCTGCTTCTGCAATGGAGAGGTATGACTTAATTATTTAATTAATTAATGATTAATACCTCGTTAATCTTTATTAAAGCACTTTAGATGAGCATAAACTTGTGAGGATTGTAGTGGCCTACTGTGCAGCATAAACCAGAAGTAATATTAACATTGATTTTGAACTTTTTTTCTTGTAATTATTTAATCAGACTATAAAAAATTGTTAGACAATTTTAGTCTAATATTACTGTCTGAAATTTTTCTTGTTGCATAATCAAAATATTGAGAAAATCGCCTTTAAAGTTGTCCAAATGAAGTTCTTAGCAATGCATATTACTAATCAAAAATTAAGTTTTGATATATTTACGGTAGGAAATTTACAACATATCTTCATGGAACATGATCTTTACTTAATATCCTAATGATTTTTGGCATAAAAGAAAAATCAATAATTTTGACCCATAAAATGT